CCCACCCAGGCGCCCCGATGCTTATTTTTTTAAAAGGCTTTTGGGTATTTACTTAAGAGCCACAATATTTAATTTGATTGCCTCTATGGACACTACAGAGTTCTTAGCATGAACAGTTATTTTTGTATTATTCTATTTTAACATTTATCTTAAATATAAAACTTTTGCTTTAATTAGTTCATTCTAACAAATCTTAGTAAGTTATAATGGGCTGTCTTTGGTAGAGGTAACCATAAAACATTAATGATGCAATAATGCAAAGCAGTTAAGTTTTTCTTTTTAATGTATGTGCTACTTTTTGGTTATTCTCCCAAGACCAGATTAATACTGTTATAGAGAGCATTTGTTTATTGAACATTGAGTGCATTTCCCTTTTTTACCTTAATGACTGAATAACAATTTGATGTTTTGATGTTTACTATTCATATATTATGTACCAGTCACTGTGCCAGATGCTGAGAATAGAGACATGCTTTCAAGGAGTGTTCAGAACTTTACCTTCTCTAAAGTAGTCTTTAAGTTAGGAAATTTGTAATAATAAATCTGTTAAAAATAGTTGTTTTTTTTTTTTAAGATTTTATTTATTTATTTGGCAGAGAGAGACACAGCGAGAGAAGGAACACAAGGAGGGGGAGTGGGAGAGGGAGAAGCAGGCTTCCCGCTGAGCAGGGAGCCCGATGCGGGGCTCGATCCCAGGACCCTAGGATCATGACCTGAGCCAAAGGCAGACGCTTAACGACTGAGCCACCCAGGAGCCCCTAAAAATAGTTTTTGGCAATATTTTATTTTTCTAAAAAGAAGTGTAAAATCTTTGTAAGTAATTTTTATTGTAGCTCTTTGAGGTTTTTTTTCCCTGTGCAGAAGGACAGTTTACTGAGAATAGGAGATTGTCTTAAAAAAAGTCTTCAGTATAGAATTCAGCACTAGAATTGGAGTATGCTTAGTGGCATTACCTTTTATTTTCATATGTACTTATGACATACTAAATTCTTGTTTTATAAGGCTTACTGGTTTGACTGCTTTTATGACTGTATTTTTCAAGTCTCACACATGAACCTTTCAAGTCTATTGCTGATATCTTGAACTCTCATTTAGGTGTTAAGCAAGTAAGATGTCTTTAAAAAAAAAATCAAACTATTTAGGAGTAATATTGTTTTTAACGCATAGAGAGTAAGAACAATGAAAACAAGCATTTTTTGGTATTATCTACTTTGGAAAAAAATGAAAATTGCTACTTATTATCATATTTTCCATGGCTGATATTTGACAATGGACTCTGAAGATTTAAATTTTAAAATAATGAAAGGAGAATGAAATTGAGATTAAAAAAATTTTAAATTACAGCATTTTAAAATTAGTACTTGCATCTGATAAAATACTCAAAAGGGACAAAAGAGTCTCCCTTTTGGACGTGGTACTTCAGCCATTTTGTTCCTTTCTCCTGTAGGCAACGTTCTTGGAAATCCCTCTAGAGATAGTCTATATGTACACAAGCAGTTATACACTGTATTTCTTCCTCTCCTCCGCCCCCCCCACTTTTTTGGGGTAAGAAACCCCCCCATATATTGTAGTATACCTTAAACACTAATTTGTACGTTAAAAAAAAAAGATTTATTATTGGAGCGAGAGGGTGCGTGCACATGCTCCAGGTCATGCAAGTAGTGGGAGGGGCACAGGGAGAGGGAGAGAGAATCCCAAGCAGACTCCCTGCTGTGCATGGAGCCCAGTGCCTGCTCAATCTCAGGATCCATGAGATCATGACCTGAGCCAAAATCATGAGTTGGATGCTTAACCGACTGAGCCACCCAGGTCCCCCACTTCTTTGTACTTTTAAATTTTTTTTTTTTAAGATTTTTTTTTTTTTTTTATTTGAGAGAGAGAGAGAGAGCACGAGAGGGGGGAGGGTCCAAGGGAGAAGCAGACTCCCTGCTGAGCAGGGAGCCCTATGCAGGACTTGATCCCGGGACTCCAGGATCATGACCCGAGCCGAAGGCAGTGACTTAACCAACTGAGCCACCCAGGCGCCCCTGTACTTTTAAATTTTTTTAAATTTTTATTTTTTTTAAAGATTTTATTTTTTGAGAGAGAGTGAACAGGAGCAGGGGGAGGGGCAGAGGGAGTGGGAGAGGCAGACTCCCTGCTGAGCAGGGAGCGTGATGCAGGGCTTGATCCCTGGACACTGGGATCATGACCTGAGCTGAAGGCAGATGTTTAACCAACTGAGCCACCCAGGTGCCTCTTCTTTGTACTTTTTTAACTTAACCATTGATCTTGCAGATTGTTTTATGCCACTACCTGAAGAAATTCATTCCTTTTTGTAGCTGTATAGTGAGAATAGAATTATTAAATCATCCCAAAAGACATAGAGTTAGCTATTGTTATAGTGAATGACCTCAGTATTTTTTTAAATGTAGAAATCAGAAGCTTCTTTTTGTCCTATTAAACTAGGTGATTTTTATGGGATGTTGGGAAAATGTTGAAACCATTTTTTCTTCTTTTTTCAGATAGTCAGACAGCTAAATGGAGTCTGAGCAGCTGTTCCATAGAGGATACTATAGAAACAGCTACAACAGTATAACAAGTGCAAGTAGTGATGAGGAGCTTTTAGATGGAGCAGGTGTTATTATGGACTTTCAGACTTCTGAAGATGACAATTTGTTAGATGGTGACACAGCAGTTGGTAAGTTTGGCATTACAACTTTTAATATTTGTGGTAATTAATGTCTACTAATAAATTATACATTGTTGAGGTTGAGTGTTTGGGTAACTTTATTTTTTAATTGAGTTGATTCATATAAACAACCGTTTTAAGGTGTTCAGTGGCATATAGCACATTCACAATGTTGTGCAACTACCATTTTTATCTAGTTCCAAAACATTTTCATTACCCCAAAAGAAAACTTTGTATGTGGGTAAGCTTCAAAATTTAAATATAACATAATATGGAGATGTATACAACTATAATTGGGATCCTCAGAGAAATAGGACTGAATAGTATATACATAGATATCCAGAAAGAAATTTATTATGAAGGATTGCCTCACATGATTGTGGAGGCTGAGTCCTACAATCTGTCATCTGCAAATTGGAAGCTCAGGAAAGCTGGTGGTATAGTTCTAGTCCAAACCCAGAGGCCTGAGAACCAGGGTAGCCAGGGTTGTAAGTCTCAAGGCCACAGATTTAGAAGTGCTAATGTCTGAAGGCAGAAGAAGATAGATGTTCCATGTCCAGCAAAGAGCAGTTTCACCTTTCCTCTGCCTTCTTTTCTATTCAGATCCTCAGCTGATTGGATCATGCCCACTTGCCATCAGTTAGGTCACCTTTTTTAAGTGTACTGAGTCAAATGCTAATCTCTTCTGGAAAGACCCTCACAGACACACCTATAAATAATGTTTTATCAGCCATCTGGGTACCCCTTTGATCAGTGAAGTTGACATGTAAAAATAGCCATCATAACAATCAGCAGATCATATGTGTAGAAATTGTACAAAGTGAAAACGCATGTAATTATCCCTCAATCGAAAAATAAAACATTACTTCTTCCTTCAGAATTCTCCCTTGTTCCCCCTTCCAGTTTCAAAGGTAACTATTATTTTGACTTCTATTGATTAGTTTACAGGTATTTAAACTTCATATAAATAGAATTATACTATTTATACTCTTTTGTGTCTGGTGTCATTTATGTTTTGAGATTCATCTATGTTGCTGAGTATAGCACTAATTATTTTCATTGCCATATAGTATCTCATTGTGTAAATATGCTGCAGTTTTTCTATTCTATTCATCATATATTGTTGGTGGATGTTTAGTGTTTTTTTCTTTCAGATTTTGGCTATCACTAATAATACTTACGAATTTTCATGTACCTGTATTTTAGTGCACGTTATATATACAATTCTGTAGGGTTTATACCTTGGAATGGAATTCTTAGTTGATAGGGTATGTGGATCTCAGTAGTACCAGCGCCTGTCAAAGATAGTTTTATTATACCAGCAGTGTGTGAGAGTTCTAGTTCCTCCACATCTTCACCAATACTTGATATTTTCAGTTTTAAAAATTTTGGCTATTCTAGCGTGGGTGCAGTATTCTCACATTTTGGTTTTATTTTACATTTGTCTGAAGGCTTATGAGTTTAAATACCTTTTTGCATGTTTATTGGCTTTTTACATTGCCTCTTTTGAATTGCCTGTTCAGGCTTTTTGCCTATTTTATGAGGTCTTTATGCATTCTGATTAAGAGTCGTTTATCAGATATATGTATTGCAAATGTCTTTTCTTGCTCTGGTATGCCTTTTTACTTCTTTTTTTTTTTTAAAGATTTTATTTATTTATTTGACAGAGAGAGACACAGCGAGAGAGGGAACACAAGCAGAGGGAGAAGCAGGCTTGCCTGTGGAGCAGGGAGCCTGATGTGGGGCTCGATCCCAGGACTCTGGGATCATGACCTGAGCCGAAGGCAGACGCTTAATGACTGAGCCACGCAGGCGCCCCGCCTTTTTACTTCTTAATGGAATCTTTTGGTGAAGATGCCATCAATTCTAATGAAATCCAGTTAATCTTTTCCTTAATTTAAATTTTTATTGTTATGTTAATCACCGTATTACATCATTAGTTTTTGATGTAGTGTTCCATGATTCATCGTTTGTGCATAACACCCAGTGCTCCACGCAGAACGTGCCCTCTTTAATACCCATCACCCGGCTAACCCATCCCCCCACCCCCCTCCCCTCTAGAACCCTCAGTTTGTTTTTCAGAGTCCATCGTCTCTCATGGTTCGTCTCCCCCTCCGATTTACTCCCCTTCATTCTTCCTCTCCTGCTATCTTCTTTTTTTTTTTCTTAACATATATTGCATTATTTGTTTCAGAGGTACAGATCTGTGATTCAACAGTCTTGCACAACTCACAGCGTTCACCATAGCACATACCCTACCCAATGTCTATCACCCAGCCACCCCATCCCTCCCACCCCCCGACCACTCCAGCAACCCTCAGTTTGTTTCCTGAGATTAAGAATTCCTCATATCAGTGAGGTCATATGATACATGTCTTTCTCTGATTGACTTATTTCACTCAGCATAACACCCTCCAGTTCCACCCATGTCGTTGCAAATGGCAAGATCTCATTCCTTTTGATGGCTGCATAATATTCCATTGTGTATATATACCACATCTTCTTTATCCATTCATCTGTCGATGGACATCTTGGCTCTTTCCACAGTTTGGCTGTTGTGGACATTGCTGCTATAAACATTGGGGTGCACGTACCCCTTTGGATCCCTACATTTGTATCTTTGTGGTAAATACCCAGTAGTGCAATTGCTGGATCATATGGTAGCTCTATTTTTAACTTTTTGAGGAACTTAATCTTTTCCTTTATTTTTGTCTTTTTTGTGTTCTGCTTAAGATCTCTTCCCGTACCTCAAGGTCATGAAGAAATTAGCTGATTTTCTTCTAGAAGTTTTATTTTTTGTGTCTTTCACATTTAGATTTATAATCTACCTTGCATCTAATTTTTATGTGATGTAAGTTAAAGATTTAGATTCATTTTTTTTCCATATGGATAACTAGTTGATCCAGCACCATTTATTGAAAAAACCTTCAGTTCTCCTGTGTACTGCAGTGACATCTTTATCATCTATCAAGTGAATATATTTCTGTAAATCTGTTTCTGGATTTTATACTCTGTTATACTGAAATATTTTTCTCTCTTTGTGCCAAAAGCCAGCATATATTTTGAGTTTTGCTTTTCACATTGGTCTTTTATTGACTTGTAGACCATGTAATGTAGTCCGTTTACATTTAATGTTATCGCTGATATATTTGAGTTCAAATCTGCTATTTTTATATTTGTTTTCTGTTTGTCATGGCTGTTCTTTTTCTCTATTTCTATTCTTCTCAGTACTTTGTTAGTCACACACTGTTTTATATTTTGTTTGGTGCATTACTGTATAGATTATAATATGCACTCTTGACTTTTTAGTTCTATAAATGAGTACTTTTACCACTCCATGGAAAATGCAAGGACCTTAGGATATTTTACCTCATTTTATCCCCCTTCCACTTTTTGTGCTATTGCTGTTGTCTGTTTTAATTCTGCATATATTTTATATTCACAAGACATTATTGTTTTATGTCAGTGTCTATTTATTTTTTAAGATTTTATTTGAAAGAGAGAGACCCTTTGCACACAACCAGGGGGAGGGACAGAGAGAGAGGGAGAGGCAGACTCCCCACTGAGCAGGGAGCCCAACACAGCCCCATCCCAGGACCCTGGGATCATAACCTGAGCCAAAGGCAGACGCTGTATGGACTGAGCCGCCCAGGCACTCCGTCAGTGTCATTTAGATTTAGCTGCATCTTTACTTTTTCTGTTGCTCTTCATTCTATACTGCATTTTCATGTTTCTGTCTGGGTTAGTTATCTTTCTGCCTGAACAACTCTCATTAGTATTTCCTTTCATTACTGACTACTAGCAATAAGTTTACTCAGTGTTTGTAAAAGTTTTTGTTTCCCTTTTTTTTTTTATAGGATATATTTGTAGTTATATATTTCCAGATCTATAGTCATTTTCTTGTTTTTTCTTTTCTTTTTAAGATTTTATTTATTTGACACAGAGAGAGCGTACTGTCCAAGCGGGGGGAGTGGCAGGCAAAGGGGAAGGGAGAAGCAGGCTCCCTGCAGAGCAGGAAGCCCGCCGTTGTGGGGCTTGATACCAGGACCCTGGGATCATGACCTGAGCTTGAAGGCAGATGATTGACTGACTGAGCCACCCAGGCGTTCCCTATAGTCATTTTCTTTGAACTCTTTAAAGATACAATTCTTGTGTCATTTGCTTTCCATTATTTCTGTTGAAAAGTCAGCTATCAGTCTTATTTTTTCCCCTTTTGTCTATTTTTCTTTGTTTTTGGTTTGGTTTTCAGAAACTTAACCAGGGTTGCCCAAGTGTGGTTTTCTTTGTATTTATCCTGGGTAGGGTTATTAGAGCCTCCTGAATTGTGACTTGATTTTTCTTTTTTGTTTCCCCCCCCCTTTTTTTTAATCTTTGGATAATTTTGACTGGTGAATCCTCAGGTGTTGTTTCTGCCATTCTCTCTCCCCTCTCCTTTTAGGACTCCAGTTACATGTGTTAGATCTTTTCTCTGAGATCCTTGTGTTTCTTATGTACTTCTCTGTTTTTGTTTTTGTTTTTTAATCTTTTTTTCCTTTTCATTTGGATATTTTAACTCATTTGGGTAAATACCAAGGAATGTAGTAGCTGGTACTCTCACATGGTAAGAGTATGTTTAGTTTTATAAGAAACTGCCAAATTGTCTTTTAAAGTGGTTGTACCATTTGCATTCGCACCAACAGTGAATAAGAGAGTTCCTGTTGCTCCACATATATGTCACATTTGATGTTGTCAGTAGTTTGGATTTTAGCTGTTACAACAGGTGTGTAGTGGTATCTCATTGTTTTCTATCAAGTTTTGAATTTCAGTTATTTCTCAGCCATCAAATTTCCATTTGATACATTCCTATAAATTGCTGTACTCTGGGAGAAATTCTCTGTTTTTTTTTGAACATATTAATCACTTGTTTAAAGTCCATACCTGAATATTCTCTACAAACCTGTGAGTCTGTATGTGTTGCCTGTTTTTTCTTTTGTTTTTCCAGTCTTTTGACCTTGACTTCAGGTATGCTT